CTATTATTATCAGTATCATTTGTATTGTTGTTGTTATATTTTATTAATTTTTGATTGCTATTTTTATTATGTTGTGAAAATTAAAATTATTATTAGTATCTTTATTATGTATATAGACTTCTTTTCTCTCAAAATACTGTTTTGTAGTTACTGTTGTTTTATTATTGTTGTCATTATTATTACTATTATTATTAATATCATTATTACTAGGGCTGTACTGGATTTTAGCTCCGGCTCCGGCCGAAATCCAACCAATTTTACAAATCCGGCTCCGGCAAAAAGTTAGCAAATCCAAAAATTTTTTGCCAGATTTCTGAAATTTGGTTGAATATTTATTACATCTTTTTTGCTCGTGTTTACATGTAAACTTAATATTTTATTTATAAAAATCAATTTTCTTTGTAATTTTATATTCTATAAACTCCATATTTGTAATGGAATCTTTATTTACATTTCTTTACAATTTAATTAGCTTAGCCTAATTGCAAACAACAACTCAATGAAAAATTTTGAATAGAAGACACAATATTCTGAAGTGAACACACACGATAGAGTCTGAAGTGGCGACGCAAATGTGCATTCAATAAAATTACAGTGCAAAGGTTATCGCTGCAAGATGGATGTCAATCAGAGCAAGCTGAACAGCAGATTGACAAAATTAAAGAAATTCCAGTAAAACGAGCCCAGCTGGAGCCCAGTCTTCTACATCATCATTATTACTCTGACAATGTATTGATGAAATTGTTCAGTCTACGTCTGGTGGTGGCACAGCACATTAACAAAAATTACCAACAAGCATTTACACTCAGCTAGGCCAGTATCTGGCAGAAACAGAAATAAATAGTCACGCTGATCCAATACAGTGGTGGAGTTACAACATGCAATGATTGCAAGCTGTGGTGATAGTAGCTCACATTTATTTGGGTGTCCCACCAATAAGTTTTCCATCAGAACGTTTGTTCAGTGTTGCTGTGAGATCCTCAATGATCATCGTAGTTCACTCCTGCCACATAATAATAACATATATTTATGCCAATATTTCTAAAGTATATTTCGAAACTGACCAAAGACATTTAAAAAAAAAGTTGTAACTGAACTTCACTTTCAAATTAAAAGTTTCAATTTCTTCACTTTCAAATTAAAAGTTTCAATTGTTTATCAATAATTTTGTTATGTTATGATATAATATGTGAAATTGTGTCCTTCTATCTGAATAACTACAATTAAGTTTAACAGAAATAAGTTGTCAGTTGGTATTGAAAATAGTCAATATATATATATATATATATATATATATATATAATATATATATATATATATATATATATATATATATATATATATATATATATATATATATATATATATATATATAGAGTTTTTTGTATTTTATTGCAAATACAAAATATCATACAATACAATATATATATATATATATATATATATATATATATATATATATATATATATATATATATATATATATATATATATATATATATATATATATATATATATATATATATATATATATATATATATATATATATATAAATTTCAAAAATAATATTCATTTCGAAAATATTTTATTATAAAAGTAAATAAATATTTATAAAAATTATCATAAAAAATGCATTTTTTTTCTAAAATAAAAAACAATTTTTTATGTAAGAAAACTAAAAATAACAACTAATATAACCAGATAATCTTTAATTATCAACTTAAAAAATTAGAATGATTTCTTAAAAACTGGAACGATTTCTTTAGAAACTTACTTCTAGAAACAGGAATGATTTCTTATATAATAGGAACAATTTCTTATGGGAACAAATCTTATTTACAAAACCTTCTTTTTAATCATTGCAAATTAAGTAGTGCAGTATTTAATATAAAAATATAAATATAAAAATTTATAAAAAAAAATTCAAAAAAAATTCAAAAAAAAAATTCAAAAATATGTATACATTTAAAATAAAAAAATTTAGAAAATTCTTTTTTATCCTTAATGAGCTTGTATTTGCAATCTATGTCAGCAACACAAAATATCTTTAGTACCTTTTTCAAACCAAAGTTTAAAATAAACTATAAGTCTCAAATTTAGTTATATAATTGATTGCTTCAATTTGCTTTTCATTGGATACCTTCTCAGTGGCGATAGTGTTATATACAGAAACATGTGCAATATTCTGTCTGATAATTTGCTTGTATCAAGTTTTATGCTTTGAGTCAGCTTTTATCGTCCAATTAATTTCGAAGGATGGAAACCAAAAGATAAGATTGAAACGTTGTATATATGGATCTCATGTTATTTGATAACAAAAAAAGATTTTTAAGAAAACTTTCTTCCGTGGAATAATTTTCTTCCGTGAAGAATTGCTAAAAGTTTGCTAACACTCAATCTTGATTTCTTTCAGATTTAAAAACCAGAAAAAAGATTCAAAAAACCAGAAAGTATTTGGCAAAACCATAAATCAAAAAACCTAGATAAAATATAATAATAAGCCCTATAAATAATAATAAAAAAAGCTTTTTCATTTACCAAACAAATAATTAAATTTCAGCTCTCTTACTTTTGAATAACTTGTACAAATTTGTTGACTTGATAATAAGTACCACTTTTTAATCTTTTTGCCAAACTTTGTAATATAAAGCGCCAAAAAAAAAAAAAAATTTCTAGGTGGAAAGATTTTTTTTACATAAATTATTAAAGATTTCAAAACCTTAAGATTTGTTTTTCTTTTCTTTGATTCTACTAGAGTTTCATATTTTGTATAATCTATGCACATCTGCATTTCTGCTGGTACAGGTAACTAACTGATTTATAAAGTCTAGATTAGGCAAGCCTAGTACCATAAGCATATTTGTAGCGCTTGAGTACTTGTCATATCCGAAAAATATTTTAGTACATTTCTTGTAAAAAGTATCTAGCTTTAGCATAGCTTTTGCACTAAAATTAGTCCATAGAGACACATCATAAAAACAGAGGCAGTAAGTCTTAAATAGCTGTACTTTTACCTTAATCGAGCATTTCTTGAATCGTTTGATTAATGTTTGTATGCATTTAAAGACATTTAATCTCCTGATTTATATCAGCATTATTAAACAAACCATTTTCTATTATGTGACCCAGATACTTGAATTTGTCAATGAAAACTAATACACATTTAGCTGAGGTAAACAGTGGATAATTACTTGATACAATCTTACCGCTCTGTTTTGGGTTAAATACCATACACACCTTTTTTTTTTGTATTAAATGACATTTTAATGGCAGTGGCTTCAACATTTTAAACAGTTAATAATTTTTGTAATGCAAACCAAGACGGAGCAAGTAGTGCAATATCGCCTACATGTGCCAAAAGATTCAAAAAAGTTCCATCTATGTTACATCCAATATGCATATTCGTAATATTAAAAATCAGTTTAGTAAAATTTTAACAAGAAGGGTGAAAGAATTCCACCTTGCTGTACACCATAGCTTATGTTAAACCTATCAGATTTACTTTCTGCCATCTGACAAACATATTTTGATTCTTGTACCAAGATACAAACAACATTCTTGGCAATAACCTGATCAATTAATTTAGAAAACAGTCTCCAATAATTAACGCTATCAAAAGCTTTGTTGAAATCTATAAAGCATATGAATACATCTAGAAATATAGTATTCAACTGTCTTTTTTAAATAATATGTACAAGACTGGAATTCTTAAAAACTGAAAATCATCAGCATTCTTATGAGATTCGATTCTTTCTAATAAAATTATTTTAGAACAAGAGATTGTGATTGCTCTGTAATTATTTACATTACATTTAGTTAATTTTAGATTCTACTAGAGGTATTATCATGGCTTCACAAAATATTGATGGCAAATGTCCACACAACAAGTATAAATTAAAAAAAATACTTAGAGAGACAGCCTATGCCCTCCCTATATAAATGATTCCATAAAAAAGTCATCTAGTCCAGCAGCTTTACTTTTTTTTTGCTTTTGCAAAGTATTAGTAACATCTATAATGGTAACTCTAACAAGTATGTCTAGCAATGAAGAATGCACTTTCTGTTCAAATTGTACTCTAAGCTGGTAATCATTAAATGAATTATATAGTGCCTGAAAATGCGTCTTCCACATAGTGGCGATGACTTTGTCACCAGTAACTCCCCTAATATTAGCAATGTGATTGGCTGCCTTTACACTACTAATTTCATACACACTGTTCCAAAACTTTAAAGAATTGCCATTATTGATATTCTCTGCACATCTGTCAGCCATTCATTCTCATTCGCTCATTCATTCATTGTTCATCTGCTCATTGGCTCATGATTTTTACATTGCCTAAAATACTGCCTAATTTTTTTTCATTCTTTCGAAGATAATGTTTAGGCTTTTGATCAATTACCCATTGTTTGAATGCATCCCTGGCAAACGTTTGTTTATCTGCAACATAGTCATTCCATCTGGAAACATTAAATTCATGATTTACTCTTGCTGGTCATGGTTGACTGGTTGAAAAAAAATCAGAAATTTAAAAGCAAGATTTGACAAAAAATTAGGATGACATTTGGAAAATGCGTATACTTAAGTTTTATAAAATTTATTTTTTATCTAAATTTTTTTTATATATATATGTATATATGTATATATATATATATATATATATATATATATATATATGTATATATGTATATATATATATATATATATATATATATATATATATATATATATGTATATATATATATATATATATATATATATATATATATATATATATATATATATATGTGTATATATATATATATATATATGTATATATATATATATATACATATATAATATATATATATATATATATATATATATATATATATATATATATATATATATATATATATATATATATATATATATATATATATATATATATATATATATGTATATATAAATTATATATAAATTATTATTATTATTATTATTAATATTGTTATTATTATTTACCTTCATTGCAAACTCGTGAACTCTATCACCAACCCAAACAGGATGTGTGTGACCATCTATTAAACCTAGATTATTTTTTTATGATTATTTTCCACAAGTATAATATAAACAATTACTTTTTTGTATTAACTTAAGTATCAATGTAAAAAAAGCAATTTTTTAATGTCTCTAACACTATTTAAATTAGAAGTTGAGTTAAAAATGGCAAAAAAAATTTAAGAGCAAAGAAAAGTTAAAAAAGTTGAAAAAAGACTTAAAAAACTGTACAATTTTTTTATTCTGGAAAATATGAAGACAGGAAAGAATACCGAAGCACCAATAAAAAAAAATCAAATAAAAATATATAAATAGATAAATAAAATTTTTTAAAGAAATGGTTAAAAAGATACAAATTTGCTAAATGATGAGAAACACAAGTTTACATATTACTCTTTTTTAACTTTTTTACACATTTACACAACTCACATATGTATTTAAATTTTTACATATTTATCGTAAATAATTGTTTAAAGTTTTTCAAAAGCAGCTTCAATAAAATTTATATTGCAGTTTTGAACCTTAAATCTAAATTAAAAAGGTCATTAAATGAACTAGCCCTAGATTTACAAAGAAATAGCATGCAAGAGTAAGAAAATGGTGAACACAATAAAATAACACAACCTTAGCAGATGCTAAATATTGCAATGGATTGTATATATAGTTTTTATGAGAAGTCAGTAGTAAAGACATAAAGCAGAGGACTCAGGAAGAGTACAGAAAACAACATAGTTTTAGAAATACTTAATTTTGTTATATTAACGCTGAACTTAATAGTAATAGCAGTAGTTGTAGTTGACCACTTATGTATGTTTGACACTGAACTCTTAGCAGCCATTGCAACTGAAGTAATGGCCAGAAAAAGTTGCAGCACTTTTTTTATAAGAAAATGTGAACAAAAGTCTAAGCAATTATCAAACTTATGTAAACTTCAAATTATGTAATGTTACAACATTTTAATGTTTTAAAATTTGTTGAAATCAAGTTTTACAGTTTTACTTTTACTTGATCATTTATTTGTTATTTTATAAATAAAATATAAATACTTTTTTTTTATTATAAATACTTTTTTTTATTATAGATACTTTTTTTTTTTATAAATACTTTTTTTTTATTATAAATACTTTTTTTTATTACAAATACTTTTTTTTATTAAATAGTGTTGAAACATTCCTCAAACAATACACTTAGTGGCCGAAATAGTTAGTTCGTAGCGTTTCTGAAGCGCATTGCCATGGTTCAAACCCTTACACTTACATATACATTTTTTTTATATTTTTTTAATTATTTTTGATTTTTTTAATAAGTAAAACATTTTTGAAGTTTTATAGATAAATTCTCTAAAAAACACTGGGAGAAATATGTTATATTTATCAAAATACCACATATATAATATATTTTATGAATATTACTACATATATGGTATATTGGCATATACCATAATTATAATAGAGATACTTAATAATGTGCTTAGGTAATTAGTGAAATTTGCAGGTTTAACACACATTAAAGAGTCAACTTTTTTTCCTATAGGAAAAAAAAATTTTACATTCAAACTTTAATTTTTTTTTAAAATTAATTAACAAGACGAGAGCCCTAATAAGCTGCGGAAAAATAAAATAAAAGTTGCCCGTAGCTACAAAAACAATAAATTTTATTTGAACAATTAAGTCTTTTTTCCTATAAATTTTTTTGCTATAAATATTTTTGCTATGGAAAAACATAAAGTGTTTTTTGCTATATATGCGCACTAAACCACTAAGTTACCCAAGTTATATATGTAATTGAAAAACAAACCATTATATAAATCTCTTATACCCACTGCTAATCAATACTTTTCAAGCGGGTTCTCTAAATAGGTGCAGCTATACTGCATAGCAATGTAGTTGCTCTTATATAAACAATATATTTTACTTTATATTGAATTTATTTTACTTTTTTTTACTTTATAATATACTTTACTTTATATTGCACATTATATACAATATATTTTACTTTATGTTGAATTTACTTTACTTTATTTTACTTTATATTGAATTATCTAAACCCAATAATATCAGTCCTCATGTAAAAAACTTCTGTTTAGTGTTTATTGCAGAAAAATAGATCAAGTTAACTTATTTGACATACTTAGCTATTCATGACCCGTTTTACAGGTTTTTACATTTTATAATTTGTTTAGCAAAAAAAAAAAATATTAATGCGAAGGTTGAAATGTTATTACAGATCTTCAAAAAATATAAGGAAACAAGTCACTTATCAAGTTCAGAATTTTTTCTTTCAAAATAAATAAACAAGATAAGGTTTTTAATAAGGTTTATGTAGGCAAAAAAAGGTGCAAATTTTAATTTTTTTTTTTTTTTTGCTGGCACTGAAGAGAAATATTCAAGATTGAAAAAAAGGTAATAATATCAGGAAGATTATTTTTATAGATGAGAAATTAAGTGAAACCTTATGGTACTTCGAAAGTTACTGGAAATAAAAGGTGTTGTCCATTATGTACAAAATTAATACTGCAGATAAAAAAGAATGATTTAGTAATTTAAAAACCTTCCTAAATACACCATATGAAGCAAGCTTATTCAAAAGATCACCATGTCAATGGATGAAGCATGTTAAACTTTAGAAGTTTAAGTGAGTAATAACTTAAGCAACAGTAAAAAGTCTGGACCTGAGTCAGTGTTTATAAAAGTCTGGACCTGAGTCAGTGTTTATAAAAGTCTGGACCTGAGTCAGTGTTTATAAAAGTCTGGACCTGAGTCAGTGTTTATAAAAGTCTGGACCTGAGTCAGTGTTTATAAAAGTCAGTACTCTTTTCATCAGAGAGACAAAAGATTTTAACCAATCATCCATTGTTCGAATCATCACAAGTCCAAATATCATCATAAAGAAAATTACAAAAGTTTAGGAAAAGAATTAATGTAAAATAAAAGTTAGGAATCCAAGTCAGCTTTAAAGCATTAGTAAGAAAAGTGATAAAAAAAAAAAAAAAGAGGTTATTGTTGTATAGGGTGAATCTGATGATAAAGAAGTATGTGATAAAAATTTTAGCAAGATCATAACATAATCTGAACTACCTAAAAAGGAAAACAAGTCATTAAGTCATCAAACAAAACTCTTTAAGTAAGATATTGAGAATTTTTTTAAGCTTAAGTGCAACATAAGTGATACTAAAGCAACATAAGTGATACTAAAGCAATAAGCTATGAACTATCTCATTCCTGCAAATCAAGTTATTATAATGGGCTCCTGTATTTCGATTAAACATTTTTTAAAAACAACAGAAAGTTTTAATTGTAAACAAAAAAACAATTGCATAATATATAAATATGTTGTTTTCTCTAAGAATGTACTCAATAAACAATATTTTGGCTTAACTGAGGATCAGTGAAAAAAACGTTTTGCCAATCAAAAGCAATCCTTTAAAAACAATAAGTCACCATGCTGTGAAAATACATATGGGAATTAAAAGATCAAAATATTGATGATTCTATATTGAATTGGTCCATCCTTAAAACAACATATAATTAATACTTCCAAAAAATACATATTATGCCTACAAATAAAATTTGAAATAATGCACATGCAAACATGCGAACCATGAGAACACATGCGAACCATGAATACAAACATGCGAACAAATGCGAACCATGAATGTTTATTTAACAAAAAATCAGAAATGATTTTTAAATGCAGGCAAGTTTCACTTAATAAACTATAAAAATAAGTAAGCTCAAAAAATAACTATATTAAATCCCCCCTAATAATAAATAAATCCCCCCTAAAATAATAATTAAATCCCCCCCTTTAAAATTCTCCTCCTCCTTCTCCATTCAAATTGTTTTTCAGCGCACTTTCATCAAGGTTCATGTTTTGAAGGTAAAGAGTTAAGAGAGGGTTGTGTCCACAATAAAGTAGCTTCCTCAACGGTAGAGGCCTTCTTGGCCTTGGGGAGGTATATAACATGAAAATAAAAATAATAAAAAAGTATTAAAAAAAAAAAAAAGAAATCTTTTTTATAATAGTGTAAACATATTCCACAAATGTGTGAAAATTTACAGTAGTTAAGACAATTAAGACTTCCTGTAATTTAATTTTTGGTATAAATTGAAGTTTTATTAACTTGATTATTCGTTCCTGATTAGTCTTTATTGATGAAACACAGAATAAAATAAAAAAGGTTTAAATATGATTTTCGACTAATTTATTATTGCTCTGTTCTTTAAAGTTAAAATGCTCTTCTAGGATGCTCTGTGACAAGATCTTTAGGTCTTCTTAGGGCATCTAAAAAAAATATTAAAAAAAAAAAAAAGTTAAAGAGCAAGAAAACAGTTGACAGAAGACTTGAAAAGTTGTAGGTTGCATGAGTCAGGAAAACATAAAGACAGGAGAGAGTTTTAATCAATTTGTGCGAAAAAAAATCTAGACAAAAAAAAGTTTTCTAGAGTATGCAAGGACAGATACAGTAAAAGAATGAGACTTTGCTAAATGGCGAGTTAAGCAAGAATGAGTTTCGGTTGATGGAACTAGAGGTGATAGCTCCTTTGAACAGCAACCACCATAGTATTTGTAGAATAGAGAAAGAGATTCAATATTTGGTAGAATTGTTTTGAGAAAAAATAATTGGATGATTTGAATAAAAATCAGCATTTATATATAATTTGATAAAAGTTAGACATCTAAAGTATTCTGACAAAGATTCAATGCCAAATAGCGATATGGAGCAAGCATTAAATAACCAGTTTCCATTTGGAGTAGTTTTGATTATTGAAAAAAAAATTAACATAAATGAGCAAAAAATAACTGATAACTAATAACACAGAAAGACCCAAGCTTGGTAGATAAAACAGGTCTAACTAAGCTTACAATAAGTTTTTGAACCTTTTTTGAAAATTGTTTTTGTCTAGAAGAGAAAGAGCATTATTAGAAAAACCAGCTTATATATGATAACAGTATCCCACAGAGGGGAAAATAAGGGATTTGTAAAGGTAGAGAATCAGGAGTAAGAAAGTAGCAAGCAAAATAAAAA